GAGGACGGGGCGGCATGGTTCATGAGGAAATGGCACAGGCAGGAGGCGGAAGCGTCCGCGAAGCGCCAGCGCGCGAGGGAAGCAGAAGCAGAGAGTACGACCATCTCAGGACCGAAGAGAAAGAGAACCGGCGAAGCGGCGGTGGGGGGGAAGAAACGGCGACCGGGCACTGCTGTAGAAGCGAGTAGGGCGGCCGAGGCAGCGCTTGTGGCGAACTATGTACCCGGCTGATGTTGTTGCGCCCTGTTTCCCTCCATGCTGTATGTTATACTCCTTAATGTATGTCCTTTGTATTGCCTTCGGCCTCTGTGCTGTGTTTCTTTTTTTTCATGACCTCCCTGCCTACTCTGCTGTGTTGGGTACCTTGGTCTCGCTTTGCTGTTGCCTTTGCTTTTGTACGTCTGGCTGTCTGCCCGTCTGCCGCCTCTTTGCCCTGTTTGATCCGTTACTCCCATGCCCTGGTGCGTGGTGCGTGGTGCCTGGTGCTGGTACGTTACCCTTTGATATCTTCTTTGGGCGGGTGTGGGAAGCGTCCTCCTTTTTATTTTTTTATTTTTCTTAATATAACACAACGAGTCCATCTCTATCATAGAAAAGAGTCATAGACAGATTAACAATGGAATCATAGCGTCAGAGAAAACTACCTGTATGTCTACGATTTTTTTTCGATTTTTTTTTGTTTTGTTTTATTTTGATCGGTGTCCGAGGGCTCTTTTCTCGAACGGTCGGTGCGATACCTGTTCTTTTCTTTCTATCATTTTGTTTTCTTTCTCCGAGTGGTTTGTACCCTATTTTTGTTTTTTTTTTGTTTTCTCGCGGCGTCGTATGTGCCGGGTTTTGAGACCACGGGCTCCCCATTTTTTGTGGACTATAGGGCTAATGTGAGAAACAACAACAAACAACAACAACAACAACAACAACAACAACAATAACTCACGAGCTGGTCCTGTGTAGAGCCTACTTTTAGGTGCTCATTTGTTCTTCAGCTGCGTAGACAGGTGGCGACCTCCGTGCATAAGAGCTTTGCCCCAGGCTCTCGCTGCCCACCTCCTTCATTGATTGCGCCGCTTTCATGTACTCAATCCACGCTTCAACTGCCGCGGGTCTCGCCCCTTGCGCTTCGTTGATGGAGGCCTCGGTGATGCCTTCTTCGTCGCTTGTGCTGCCACACGCAGTGTCGGCGACCTGCGCACGACAACGTCGCATGGCAGCCAGTAGCACAGAACAAGGCGGGCAGTTTACCCCCACCCTTGATCGGTACATCTCGGTAGCTCGCGTCTCTTCAATGATCCACGTAGATGTCACCACCACAGGGTAGTCACAAGCAACATCCGTGGTCGTTGGGGAAAGGAATACAAATATCACCTCACCGTCAACAGCCTCTTGTAGTTTCTCTTCGCCGCCATCGCAGCGGCTCTGCATGCCAGCACGCGGCGCTTCCGCTCCTCATGGCCCTGTCTCACGGCTGCCGCTCTTGCTTTCACGGCTGCCTCCAGTTCGTCCTTGCTGCCTGCCTCGTCTCTTAGCCAGAAAAAGGCGAGAAGCTAAAGGCCCCAACACGTATACAACGGAGGCATGCCAGCAAGCGCCTTTTAAACATGCGCCAAGAGCGTAGCTGCTTATGCTTGGGACAGCGCTTTGGAAAGCCGACTTAGCATGGGATATTTCACGATGGTTTGGTCCTCTGGCGGTTTGGTCGGCGATGATTGCAGCTACTCTGACCTTCATCCGAAGATAGCTCATCGGCGCTGAACCAGTTGTCGTTGCTGCAGTGACTGCGCGTGCTCGAGTCGCTGTCCACGTCACTGTCGTCTTTGTCGCCGGCGCCCACAGCTTGACCACCGAGCACCTGACAAAACCGCAGGGAAATGATCCAGGAGCACATCAACGGCTGGACGTGTTTTGAGACGTTTCACTATGCACTTCGTTCGACAGGCCTGTTTCGGCCTAAGCACGAGCGCGATCACGTCCAGCGGCACGCCCGAAGAGTCTGACGATCTACACCGATTGGTCATCCACCATACGGCAAGTAACGGGCAAAAATATGTTGGCCGGTCCTGGAATGCCAAAATTTTACCATTCCGTGAGGATGGTACATACTCGAAAATGGAAAGACAAGGTCGCCTTCACCGGCGGTGCTTTGCGCATCGTCGTTTTCCACAACAACGCCGAAAAAACGCAACCCTACGTACCTTTCGCAGCTTGCGCGAGACCCTCGATGTTGCAGCGGCGGCCTTGTCGTACTTCCGCCGTGCTACGGCTGCTGAAACTCTACCTTCTTTCAGGGTCCTATTCATTATCGTCACGACGGCTGCGTAGTCGTTCTGCGAGTTTTGCATGTCCTTCTTCCACAGATGCTGGGCAAGTTCGCTCTCCTGAAAAAATTTGAGAGACAATGCGTCCATGAGAACCGTCCTGGGGTCCAACGCACCGCCAAAGGTGTTATGTCGCACCACAAGCGAGAGTAACGAGCGACAAGAGAGATGGAAATAAATCCCTCGCGCTGGCCCCAACACATGTGCGCGTTATGAATGTTCAACGGCTGCCCAGACGGGCACTTGTCTCCACGAGGTCACTTACTGCCTTCAGCCTGAAGTGTCTCGTCTTGCACTTCTTGGCATTGGCTCTGGCCTCCACCTCTCTTTGGATCACGACCTCCAATTCTTGTTGCTGTTGGTCGGGCAGAAGCGAAGGAAAGACGCCAGGATTGGGTACAGGGTGCAAGCGAACCGCAACCAAACATTTCGCTTGCGAAATTTCGAAGGTTTGGTCGAGATGCATACTCAATTGGCGCCCAAGGCTTCCATATTTCCTACACTACAGCAAAGGTAGCCTTACTAGGGTCATATTCACCAACCTTGGCCTGTATTTGGTCCATGGCGCCACCCGCCCCGGTGATGCCCGACCCATCCCCCGTCACTGAACCAACCCTCTTCTGCCCCCTTCCTCCCTGTCACCTCCTTCGCCTTTCAAAGGCCCTCTCTGCCTTGCTCCCCCTCTCTCACGCCCCTGCTCCCGACGTCTCCGGCTTTCACACCCGTACCTTCCCCCGTCCCTGCCCTCATGCCGCCGTTCTGCGCTTCACGCGTTTCACCTTTCTCCGGACGCCTTTTCGCCTCCTCCTTGTCCGCCTTGCGCTGTGCATGCTGCCTCGCGTTCGCAAGCTCCGCTAGCTCCAGCTGCCTGTTTTCGACTGCTTTGATTTTCCTCGCCTGCCGCCTAGCGATCGCAGCTTCCTCCGCCGCTCTTGTCGCCGCCGCCGCGGCCTCCCAACCGGGCTGTACCCCTAGACTCGCCTTGTGCGCGGCTTGTTCAGCCTCGCGTCCTGCGCCGGGGATCGGAGGATCACAGGGGTCGGCGGCAAAGAATATCAACTGCATGCGTGCGTCGTCTCGCGCACAGACCCAACAACAAGCACGTCTGGGGACCTGATACCTTCCATCCTACCAGAGGAAATCTACCTGTGGAGTACAGCCACTCACCAGGCTTGGAACAACGGGGGTGCCGCCCTGACCAGCGGGAACGGAGGGGTCGAGCGATCCTTCTTCGAGACCGCAGCGAATTGGCACCCGGTACAGCAGGTGGTCGCCTTCGTCACCTCGACGAGGTTGTCTAGCTCTCCCGCGCTTGCCTGGGTGCAGCTTGACGTCAAGATGACGGTGGCCTCCGTGACCGTGCGGTCACCTCCGCCTACGCGCAAGGAGGACACCGCGTCGCCTGGGAGAAATGTCTGGGAGTGACGATTGTCTTCCGGGTTGATGTTGTCTTTTCTCGTCGAACCGCGATCTGTCTCGAGCGTCGCCGAAGCTTCATCACGCTTCCGCGACATCATATCGATCGAGCACACGAGCTTCACCGTGATCCTTAGAGCCTGAGACGCCAGCAGCATCGTCAGGTCTCCACCCCAGCACGCCGGTTTGCTGAAGTCCGCAACGGAGGCGATAAGCATCTTCGACTTGTTGGCGACCGTGGCTGCGTCGTCCAGGCGGTTGGCTGTGACAGCGAAAGCCCCGTGGATATCGGACGAGTAGTTTTTGGTGAAATCGGACAGGATACGCCCTCGTGAGACGAGATCCTCGGCGTTCGCCGCTGCCCACGCAAGGACCACAAGCTTCAGTTGGGCCCAGAACTAGTCACTCCCCCACAAGCACCTGGCCAAAGAGCGCCAAGCGCAGTTCCCATCGCCCGCTACCCACAAGGCTACCCACCCCTCCTTGCGCATCTCCTTCGGGATAACCATGGTGGCGTGGCGGTCGAAAACCTACTTGTTGTCCGAAAAGGGGTGCAACACTGGTGTAATCGAAAGCAAGCGTTGAATCAGATAGATCATCAAAACAGGTTGGATCAGACCATCAGACGGGCGACACGAATGCACGCCACGTTTCTCTTTCTACATCATATGTTCCTGTCGACGTTGTGACTTTGAGCAGGAGCACGATCGTGCTCAAACAAGTTGTTGGTGCATCACGCACCAAGCGTTCACAGCACCCTTTCCGGCGATGCCGTGACGCTCTCAACTGACGCCTTCTGGCCGTGCTTTGCAACCCATGAGAAAAAACGTGTACGTTACCCGATTTCCTTTATTCCGCAGAGCACAAGCACGTCACAGCAATCACAGGGGTGGCACAATGGTATCGTGGTTGAAGCAACTGGGTGCAGGATCACCTCGTTCTCCATGGGTCCGACCTCGGATGATGTTGCCGGCAGCTCTCCGAGGGGCGTGCCGAAGACAGCCTCGAAAGTGCACTCCGTTTTTACAAACGCCTTTGTCGACTCCAACGCGTTTCTCGTCGAAATCACTCCTGTGCAGCTGACGGCAAGCTGTCCAAGCAACGCTTGAGCCTGCGTTGAGGACATAGCACTGGCAAAACACAACACACGGTTGTAGTGCATGCGCACCATCAGTACAGCGAGTGGCACTCTAGCCTGCTGCAGACCACGTCAAAACCAGCTAATCAATACATGCAGCATCCAAGCGCAAGCAAACAATGGAGAAGCGCATTGAACCGAAACAGGGATGGGATAGCAACATCAGCACTACCCTTACGCTTGTATGTACATCAACCCTTGCGCCTGTATGACCTGGCTGGTTTCAATTTGCTTGTGGGAGAGGGAAGGGGAGATGGGACGAGGAGACCTGAGATTTGAATTTGAAAGTTTTGGCGCCGCGGAAAATGGCGCGCAGACCGCATAGCCAACAACTGAAACTAATGTCGACGGCGCTACTCAGAGCAGCAGCTTTACATGATGCCCTCCCCTGTCATGCCCCACCACCACACACACCTGGTGGGCTTGGGAGACGGAATCATCATGTCTGGCATTGCTGGCAGTGATGCTTGTGTGTGGACCTCAACGAGGGATCGAGCGCAAGAGACTAACACAGACAGAGTTGATCCGCTGTGATGAGGCAATTGTGCAGCGTCTCTTCTACTTCAGGTCTGGTGGTGCAAACGGTCTTCGTTATGAAGCTTTTCCTTCTTTCCCGCGTCTGTTGGTCTGGTGTAGTTGCTGTGATGCTGCGTGTTCAGTGTGGCAGTTTGTCGAGGGTTTCTAAAAACTGCATGGCGTTTTGGTACAGACAGGAGCGGGATCTTCCACCGCACTCATCATCATAGTAGGCGCGGAACTCAAGGCGGCACCACCTCTCTCGTCATGTTGGTCGCTCGAATCACCGCTGTGGTGCTGCTAGCTGCACTTGGCTGCCGCTGGCTCCCTGTTGAGACGATGCCGTGCTTGCTTGTGTTGCAAACCAACAGCAGTGTACGTACAGATAGGTACCACAACGATGATCTGCTTGTGCGCTGCAAAACAGCACCGAGAGTGGACGAAAGGGGACAGTCACTCAGGGCGCAGACACTTTTACGTCATCTCCTGCTCAATCTGCATCATCTGCAGCAACCCACTTGTGAAGCGACGTCGCGGTCTTCGAGACATACAGGTGTTTCGCGAGAGAAAGGCCTAGACTAGACCTTTTTTGTTTTTTCAGGCGCCGCCAGTAAAATATCGCCCCCCTCCATATCGAGACTTTGGAATGGACGTCCATGTCGAAGTCATGTCTCCCTGCTGTCGCTGCCTTTCGCTCCTGCTCTATCTAATTGTATACTTCACAATGTTTCTTGTTCGGGGTCGACACTGGGCGATTTGACGCAAGACAAGGAATCTGCTTCGTGAAGATGATGCGGCCACCGAGAGTGCACAAGCACGCTTCCTCCATGCATTTCCTCTGTTTAACGTTTTCATGAGGACGTCCATGAAGCTTCCATTGACGATTAAATACTACACTGCTGTACAATGTAGACGACTATACATTTTTTTTTTTTCTCCCATCATTGGACTCTGTCGTCTGCCCCTCTGGCCCCTATCCTCCACTTCTACAATGTAGATGACTGAACCCGCGGTTCGATCCTTCGACTGGGAAGCAGCTGGGAGAGCGCTCATCACGGCATCTTCGAGTTCCTCCTACGGCATGTCATCCGCAGATCTTTCCCAGGTCCAGGGTTGCGACTGGTGCATGTATGTAGCCGATATTCCTGTATGCATAGACTATGCAGTACTTCTACAGTGTATCGCGGTTTCGTCCGTTCTAGGCAAAAAAACACCACCCGTCGAAATCTATGGCCAGCGAAAAAGGCAGGGACTACAGAAGCATGACGATGCTTTGCGAGGCCCCTTCTACCGACAAACCGCTACAAGTCCTGGGTTTGCGGCTTTGCTACAACGCGAAGACGGCCTCGCCTCAAACCCATCCGTGCTGATGAACGATTGCAAACGTTGAATTGAAGACAGCAACAAGAAAATGTACCTTCACATCACAGGCGAACAAGTAAAAGTACTTCGATTCAGCTATCCAATGGCCGCGCCAGCAAAATGAAACTTCCGACAGGGAAAACGATGCACAACACAATAACACGGGGAGAAGCAGCAGCCCGCTATGTCACCACACATAACAACACCCACGCGCCGGCTACCCCAATCTTTTCTTCACTGAACCCTTGGCCGACCCTCGCGGCACTCTGCACGGTTCGCCACGCCTTTCCTACGCCGACTACAAACAAACCTGTGACCATCTATTCAGAACAAACTTTCGCATAAATCTACGTCGTATCAAGACTAACCGTTTGAGAAATTTCCTCAAAGGGATGCGTTGAAAAGCCTTTTAAAGTGACGGTCGACACGACTACTGCTGTAGCAAAAAACACAAGGATGGTTCAGATATTTCTATCAATACGCATACAAGTAGTATGGAAGCAGATATGACACCTCCAAGCGTGAAATAAAACCTTCTGCATACACGCGCTTGTGTTCGTTCGACAGAGATAAGCAAAGTAACTCCTACCCATGATTCCTCTCTCGAGACCGTTAAAATACATGAACGTACATATATTGTACTGTGCGCGGCATGAATGCCAAACAATAAACTAAAGTACGGGTCCAAAACGTCTACGTGCAATACCAACACCCACCACATGCGACCCACTTCCGTCCCATTTGCCGCCAACGGACCCAATCTCACCCTGTCGTCCTCACCCATATTGGTCCACTCGCTTCAACGCAAAAGTAATCCGTACCGTACACATCGAGTTGCGGCATTTACACGACAACAGAAAAACAAGGAGCGGAAAACCAAAATTATTCCACCCGGCATCCCTCTCGAGCGTCACAAGGTACACACAACCAGCATTTACAACGCTCCTCCTTCCCTTTGGGACCACGAAAATCATTCTCAGCTGTGCCGAACTCCGCCTTCTATTGCCACCGTTATCCCCTCCTTCATCGTCATTTGAGCTCTACACACAGCACGCACGTTTCCGGATTGGAGGTCGTCGCACACCAGCGATCCCCTTCCCATTTCCAAATCGAAGAAACAAGCAACAAACACCAACAATTGAACCCCCCAAGAAGACAAGTGCCCTCTAGAGTCTCCCCGACATAACAAGAAACACCCGCCACGATGCGGACTAAAAAATCACCAGTTATAAACCCCGGTGAGCGGGACAGACACCCCTGGCTTCCCAAACCCCACAAAATCGGCCAAGGCTTCAGTTCCGCCGCCAAGCACACCCCCTGCCTACCGGATTTGGTCGCCACGAATCCCCCCCCCCCTCGCTATTGTACCGCTCAAACCACGGGGCCGCTCTTCCCTCGTCCCGCGCGTGGCGGCAGCCAAGCAAACACCTGCTGCCGCCCGCCTTACATACCCCTTACGCAACTTCGCCTCCCGTGGCGTGAGTCGCCCAGCGGTGGACACCCCGGGACATGCACCGCACCCCGCCGCGGGTGCCAAAGACGCAGAGCCCCCCGCCCGGGGTGAGCATCGCTGCGTACTTCTCCTCTCCGCCGCCCCTGCCATCTCCCACTCCACCACCACCACCAGCGACCGCCTCCTCCACCCCCGCCTCCGGAACGCCTCCCAGCAAAACGCCGAACTCTACCACGTCGTGTCCCGCGGTCCCACCGAGGTCTTCGCCATCCATGTCGCCGTCGCCACCGCCGCTGCTCCCGCCGGAGGGGTCCTTCATCAAGGCCAGGCGGCCGTCGGAGGTTTCCCTTAGGGATAGGCCGGCGATGGCCTGGGGGGGGGCGGGTCCCGAGGGTCCCCCCCCCTCCGGAGATTTGCTTCTGCGGCGGAACATGGAGGACACCTTGAACCCCACGGACTGCCATTGGAACACCACGGACAAACAAACAAGAACAAGTGAATGAGGAGCCCGGCGTGGAGAGGGGGTATGGTGCAGCAGCGAAACACGCCGGTAGTCGGCATACAAGAAAATACTGGAAGTCCAAGGAAAATCAGCCGAAAATACAAACGATCAAACTAAAAGATGTGAAGAACGCGAAATAGGAAAACCAGGAAAACGCCCACGACCCTCTCGTGCTGCGAGCACGAAAGGCAGCGACGAGAACCCGGCCGACAGGAAGTCAACTGACTGCTACAGCAGTGCAGGGACAGCAACACCCCCATCGGAGGGTGAAACGCGCGCGAGTTCGTCCCTGTTCGGTCGATTACAGCCCAGGACGGCGGTGTGACAAACATGCCTACCAGACAAATGCAAACCCGTGGCCAAGAGTCGAGCACGGGCAAAGGACGTGCGAGAGCAGGAACTCGAAAGATGCGCATATGCCAAACACGATCACACGCGGAAAACGTCCGAAAGAGGCATATGGCCATTAAGGTCGTTGCTGGTCTAACGTGTGCGTGGGGGCATGCGGTGGGTCGCTTACCCCACTTGTGACCACAACATCTCGGAAGTGCTCAACAAGAAAACACTCACGTTACAACGAGGGGCACAACCACGTGAAAGTCGAGAGAAAAGTCTCATTCATAATTGATGTGTATGCAGCCATGACACGCGAGAGGAATGCACACGGACACCGTCTGATCCGGTTCCAGTTCTGATTTCGGTCCAGGTTTTGGTTCGGGAGCCTTGGTTGCAATTTGCCGAGGGTCCGTATTCCGCCGCCGACGGAAATCCAGTCAGAGGAGAAACGCCAACCTACATTGCGTTACCCGTACGGACAATGGGGAGCAACAACGACGAGCATGAGGAAGAGAAAGAAGAGTGGGGGGGGGAGAGAGGAGCGCACCTGCTTGGCTGTCTTGATGAGAGACTTGCGGGATCTCCAGGCCACCTTGCCCTTCTTCCCCGGCCTGATAAGCTCCATCAAGTTCTGTTGGGGGGAGAAACGTAGAGGCGCGTTCGACAGCAAAGACAGGGAAGAGAGACAGAATGGCGGTCGTCAGGGGAAAAAGTGTGATGAGGAGTCAGATACAATTTTCTACTCGATAAGATCGATATGTTGGGTAAAAAGTCAAATGGTGGATGGGTGGCGTCGGAAACGCAAACAGAGGTGGGGCAGGAAGCCGCAAATAGCCCCCAATCACTTCGGCTTGGTCAATTACGCCGAAGGTGTTGTTGGTGCGCGCTCCACGGCGACAGCGCGGCGGCGTTCTTCTTCTCGAGAACTCATCAAAACGATCTACTTTTGGGTCCTGGGCTCGATAGTCTTATTTATGGTGCACAAGAGCACAGGGGTAGTGAGCTAACACTCGTCAACAACATCGCCCGCACTACAATACCTTTCCGGTGTACCCCAGCAGCATCGGGGTTGACCCGCACTCCTCCGACAGGCCGGGCGCGATCTTCGCCGCTCTGCACCCGGTCAAGAACTCCACGGTGACCATGCCCCCATCGGGCCGCATGAACGCCGGGAGCGACGGCTGTCCCAGTGTCAACAAGAGAAGGAAAAGCAACACACGTAAAAAGATGCGACTCTTCAATTTGGGGGCGTCAGGGGTCCAAACAAAGATGAATGAGCGCTGCTGTAGGTAGCGCTGGAGCCAGTAGCCTTCGCGATTACATTAATCTTGGTTTTAGAAGGGATTACGGGGTGGGGTAGGCGGTTAGGGTTAGGGTTACGGAACCCCCCTCTCTATTTCATAGATAAAATAGTATCCTCGCGAAGGCGATCCCGGAAAGCAGGGCAGTCCTATGCGCACCCCCGTAACGTAAGGAGGGACGTCATATCGACCTTTCGTCCAGCCGCATCAACGCTGGGTTCTGCCTCCGAACAAGTAATCCGAGGCAGAGGTCAAACTCCAACAGCATGAAGACAGGCATTGCAACACTGGTCTCGTAATAACCGAACTGTGTGGCAACACCCGCGAGTAGGCCCAGTGCATGGCAAAGAGGCAGGCTGGCTCGGCATTGACCGTTCACACGTTTAGGCTCTGGTTTTCGTGAGGGAGCGAACTGCGACAACGGTACAGCGCGGCGCAGCGGGGTACCCACACACGAGACTAGCGGCACAAGGCGTCGTTAGTTGAAAAGAGACCGCAGCTATCCTGTGCGTGCATACCTACCTCACGCCCAAATGATCTCCCCGCTAACGTAGCGCTCACCTCGGAGTTGTCCTCTTCCCTCGCTCCCGGTCCCATCTCGGCCACGTCTTGCTTCTCCTCGTCCTCATTGTCGACCCCGTCTTGATTTCCTCCTTCCTTCACAACCCCCGCCGTCGTTGCAAGTGTCCGCCCTTCTCCAACCTCCACCGACATCGTTTCCTCCCGAAGAACAACACCCGCAGCCTCTGCCCCTGCGATCCGCTCTTCTCCCTCGGCGCCCTCCTTGCCCATGCCGTCGTCCTCATCCCCGATCTCCTCCGATCCTGTTTCATCCTGAAGAACAACACCCGCAGTCTCTTCCACTGCGATCCGCTCCTCTACCTCGGTGCACTTCTTGCCCGTGTCATCGTCGTCGAGATTGTCCGTGGAGATGTCGTCGCCGGCCGTCAGGCTTTCCGAAGCCGCCGCGACCGCCGTCACCGCTGCGATCCCCTCTGCTGCCTCGTCGCTCTCGCTCTTGTCATCGTCGGCGCCCTCGCCCGTACCGATGCCGTCGGGCGTCCCGTCGGTCAATGAACCGGTGGCCGCCGGCTTCGGCGCCGATTCCGCGCCATCCGCCGGCGTTTTCGCCGCCCTCCGTTTCGGCAGGCCGGCCTCACCGGCAACGCCAACAGTCGGGGACGACATCAACACAGCAATGGCATCAGCTGTGCTGGGACCCTCCGTCGCCGTTCCGGGCAACCCGTCGTCGCCGTCGTACCTGCCGGCACCCGATAACGCCTCCTCCATCGATGTAACGCCGCCGCCGCCGCCGTCCTCGGGAGGCACTGCAGCTTCCGGCACCGGCCCTCGTACCACCGCCGATGTCGCTGCTCCCGTACCCTCGGCAGCACCTGAAGCCCGTGCGTCGAACGGTCTATCACCCAAGGCCGGCCGGTCGACAGCGACGAGTGTCGGAGTAGTCACGGCGGTCGCTTCGACGAGTGTCGGGCCTTCGGGCGGCGTCTTCCAGTCCGCCGCCGCCGCCGCCGCCGCCGTGGCCGTCTCTTCGAGGCCGACGCCGTCGGGAGAACGTATCGAAATAGAGCTGACGGCCGCCTTCGGCGGCACCGTCGTCATGGCCGCCCCTGCCCCCGCCCCCGTTCCTCCGTCGTCCAGCGGCAGCCGCAGCTCCCGACCGAGCTCCCGACCGAGCTCCCCGCCACTTCCGCCGCCACCGGCCGTCATCTCTTGGCGACGCCGAACTGCGCGCCCTTCCTTCTCGTCCAGGGGAAGGCGGCGCCGCTCGGGCCTCTCGCCGGCGGCAGCAACGCCTCCGTCCTCGCTACGGGCCTCTCGCCCCGCCCTAGCGGTCGGCTCCAATTGGACCGGCTCAACCCTTCCCTGCTTCTCGGACAACACCGGCGGTCCCACCTTCCCTCGCCTCCGGGGCGGTAAGCTTTCCTCCGCGCTTGATGGGGCACTATTCTTTTCCTCCTCCTGCCCCGCCGCCTCCCCGCTCCCCGAGAACAAATTGGAGTCGGTCGGACCGGGGGCGCTTGGGTCCACGACACTCAAGTACGCATCCCGCAGGGCGCCGCGAAGACGCTCGGTCATAACGCCGCCCCCGCCGCCTGTTGGCATGACGCGGGCGGCTGCGTCCATCGCTGCCCCGAACGCGTGGTCGAGGGTAGCGGGGATGATCGTCGGGGTGGCGGACGGTCCGGCGATCAGCGCCGCCCCCGCCGCCAGCATCACCACGATAACGGCAATCGGCACGGCGACGCCGAGGCAGCATGCCGCGAGGCGCTTACCGCGGCCCCGTGCTCTTCCTCCGTCACTACCCACGACCCCGCCAACGCCGTGGCCACCACCGTCCATGGGACTCGGTTCTCTCACGCTTTCTTCTGCCCCCCCGGCCTCCGATTCTCCATGCGGGTTCTCCCTGGCATCCCCTGAGCTGGCAATTTCGGCTTCGGTTTCGTATATCGCTGCCAGAGTCTCCGACACGTCCAGGTCATCGTCAACGTGTCCCATGCCCGTACCGCCCACTCTCACTACCTCCCCCTCAGCCTCTGAGTCTCCATGCCCGTGCTGGAAGGCGTCGACGTCAATCGCAAACGGCATCATCATGACGTCCGGTGCGTCCAGATCATCGCCAACGTGCCCCGGGTCCGCAGCAACGCCCTCGCTTTCGCCCACTCCCACCGCCTCCCCATCAGCTTCTGATTCTTCATGGCCATGCTGGGAGGTGTTGTCGTCGGTCGCTGACTGGGTCAACACACCTACTGAAGCGTCGGGATCATCAACAACGTCTCCCACGCCCGCATCGGCTGCACTCGAGTCTTTCTTGATCGCTTCCTTCCCATCAGCCTCTGAATTTTCACGCCCATGCTCGAGGGTGTTGTCGTCGGTCGCCAACGGCGCCATCGAACCGACCGAAGCGTCCGGATCATCGCCAGCGTCTCCCCCGCCCGCATTGGCTGCATTGGATTCGTTCTCGCCTTCGCGATCGCCTTCGCGATCGCTTTCGCCCTCGCTTTCGCTCACACCTTCCTCATCAGCCCCTGATTGTTCATGCCCATACTCGAGGGAGCCGTTGCCGGTCTCTGACGGCAGCAACAGGCCGTCCGATACGTCCAGGCCATCGCCGCCAACGTCTCCCACGCCCGCAGTGGACCCTGCCTCGCCCTCGCCAACTTCCACTTCTTCCCCATCAGACCCTGATCCTTCGTCATGTCCAGGCCTAACGCCTTCGCCTTCGTCGGTCTCCAACGGCACCAACACGCCGCCCTGGCAACCGAGCTCTCCTCCTGCCTCCGCGCCCGACGCTTGTGCCTCCGGCACATCATCGCGGGGCAGTCCACCAGCACCTGAATCAGCAGTAAGAGCCTGCACATCGGACACCCCTTCCCGATTGTCTTGCCCGGCCGTCGCATCCAGCTCGGCATCGGCGACGTCTGTCACCCCCGACTCCGATGCCGTCGTTCCGAAAGCTTCGCCGCTGCTGCCAAGTCCGCCCGCGTCACCGCAGGGAGCGGTTTGGGGCTGTGGAACATAACCTCCTACGTTGCTCTCCTCAGCAACGGTGACCACCGTGCTACCATCGCCAGGCACACCCTCCCCGGGAGTGGCGGCGGCGGCGGAAGCACCGTCGCCGGTGGTGGCGGCAGACGCCGGCGGCACGGTCTGGCCGTCCATTCTCCAAATAAGGCTGCTCGGCGAGCCGCAAGTCACCCCGGCAATTAATCCCGCCGCGTTCGAGCTTCCCTCTGTCTCCGCCGGGGGGATTGCTATCGCCGCCGACTCGTCCACCTCCGAGAAGGGAAAAACGCTGACCACGGCGGCGGCGGGGGCACCAGGGTCACCACCGTCCTTGGGATTCGTGTCCGTGTCCACGGGGATAGACCCCCCGGTCGATCGCCAGCTGCCGATACTCGACCAGCTGCCGGTGGCGTTAAGCTTCGCCCAGCCCGAGTCGTTGCCCTTCCTGGTGACCGGGCCGGCGTGCGGGGTCGAGGCAGCAGCGTCAGCGGCGGTCGATGAGAACGTCGCCTCCATGAGCGCGATCTTCTCCGCGACCGCTCCCTTATTCGTCGAGGCGACGTCCGCCGCTTCCAGCACCGGCGCGCTGCCCTTGTCGCCGACCAGCTTGGCCTTCTTCTGGATGACCTTCGCGGGCGTGATGGTCGTCGGTGCCGCATCCTTTCCGGCGGCACTCTTTGCAGTCGCGTAGGTCGTGGTGGCGGAGAGCGGGTCGGTAAATGCAGGGTAGGTGGGGGTAGGGACATCAGCGGGCACGGCCACACCGACCCCCTCCCCGGACCGTTCTTCGGATTGACCGGAATAGCTCCAAGGAAACACCGAGGTGGTCCGAGGCTCCTCGGCTCCAGCGGCGTCTGCAGCACTGTCCACCACGGGAGAAACTGCGATCGTGTCGCGGCCGCCCTCGACCCCGGAGCCTTCAGCCGCCTCCGTGTCCGTAGCCGTAGCCGCGGTAGCGACGGCGGTGTCAACGGCGGCGACGACGGCCGCGGCAGTGTTCTCGGTCTCGGCATCGGCGAGCGCGTCCGAGAACGACGCCATCGAGGGTATCGTGCTTGCCGGCCGGCCAAGACCCGGGAACGATCCCGGCGGCGGAGAAGAGCGGGGGGACGACGATCCCGCGTCGTTCTCGGTGTTGGACGAGGGAGTCAACGGCAACGGCAAGAGCCATGCGGCGGTGACCGCCTGCACGCAATGTTTGAGAGGGACCGCCCGAAAGACGGCGGGGACATGGGCTGTTAAAATGGGGGAATGGAGACGGTGGTCTCTTGATTTTTGCCTTGGAGATAGACCGAGCAAGCATTAAACATGGCTATATCATCAACAACAATTACATAGAAAGCAACAACCAAATGAACAACGATAACAATGGCGATAACAACAAATCATTTCCATCAACGGCCAACCAACAAGGCCAGAAACCAACAATCGACTCGACGTGTTTCACCCACAGCACAGGAGACGCACACACACCTTGTCACCCTCCGAAGACAGGCCATGCGTTCTCTCTTGCTCCTTCCGGCGGGCGGCGGCAGCAGCGGCGATAGGGGAACCGCTCCGCGATAGCGGTGGGTTGCTGTTGACGGAGTGCCGCCTGTCCTCGGTCACCTCGGTCAGGGGGGATCGCCCATCCGCACGCCGTGGGGGGGTACGGGGCCCCGTCGCCGGCGTCGGAGTCGCAATCTTCGCCTCTAGACCACGGCCACCACCCTCGGAGTCGCGGTCATCCTCTCCTAGCGCAAACCCAACGCTGCCACCGCCGCCGCTGCTGCTGCTGCTGCCGCAGCTGCCGTCCTCGAAGATACCGGCGGGGGTGTCCGCGAAAGAAGCCGTGGCCGCCACCGGAGCGGCGGTGGGGGCGGCGGGGGGAGAAGTAAAAGAAGGAGCAGCCGAGACAAGGGTGACGTTCGTGGGACGAACGAACAGACCGTGTTGCTCGGGGCAGGTGAAATACCTGTCAGGGTCAGACGGGGTGGGAGGGGGTCTTACAATACCGGGGGGGATCGAGTGAGCGGTCTAAACAGCGGGGACGATGGAGAGCGCAGCTTACTACGGGGCGTGGTTCGGTTGGTGAATATCTTTGGTGAACACGGTTGCCCGCTCCCCTGCTCACCGCCAGGGTTGAGTTGGACAGAGAAGGTGTCCGTCCGCGGATCAAGCGAGTTGCCTCACGGAGAAACATGGGGGTTACCACTGGACCCTACGCAGAGAGTGATTTCCGGATGTATCAAGTACTTGGACAGGTCACAATGCATTACACTACGAGGACGGAGTCTGGGCTAGCTAACTTCGTTCGGAGGAGACCCACTTCGTGGAAGTATTCGGACACAACTGGGGGCTGGCAGTGCTCTTTCGTGAGAGTTTGACGAGGAGAAAGGTCTTGGAAGAGAGAGCGAGAGAGCGAGAGCGAGAGCGAGAGGCGGGTATAACTCGGAAGACTTCCCACCCCCCGTCAAGCCGGTGGATTTGAAAGAGCGGTATCCAGAGCGGGGGCTCTTGGTGTCAAATCAAAACACCAGCAAGATACACCCCTCAGATCGTTCGTTGCTTGAAACACCGTTGAATGCGCACCAGGAATAGATACGTCATCTCTGCACCGGTCATCACCATCCACACCTTAGCGTAGCATAAATGTTTCGTGTAGTGCAAATCCAACACAACACCGAACACAAAAGCTGCCCTGCAGGCAACGTCTTTTCTGCAACGCCTTGTGCGCGCCTTGTCTTGGCTTCAAAACGCATGCAAATGCCACCGTGACACGCAAAGAAAAAAGCATACACAATACCACTACATGGAGGACTAGCGGAAAATTAAGATGGAAGGTGGTCTGGTTAGGGTAGGTACCACGGTACTTAGAAACCGACGTCCCGGCCCGCTGGCCGATGCGCGGACGACGTCACCACCTCAAAGAACTTTCAGCTAACAATATTATTCCGCCGAAGGCGGGCAGCACGCACCAAACCCGCCCCATTGTAGTCAAAGACCCGCGACGAAACATACAGCAAGACGACCAACACTGCCTTGCGCCACAGCAGATGCCAGCGCGCCAGGCCTTCTTCCCTCCAAACACAAACCCACCACGCAGCCAGCAACACCGGCGACAGTTTCTAGTCACGCCGCACCTCTTGAGCTGGTTGGAGCCGTCGTTCTTCCCCTCGGGGGAGTCCAGCTCCAGGCCGAGCCAGAGTCCCGTGGCGAACTCCGTAAGGCCGCAGAATCGGACCTGACCAAGTCCAAGAACCAAAAAGAGACAAAGACGACCACAACTCCAAGCATGAAAGGAAAAGTAGGAACAAAGCGAGAAGACGAGCACAAATCGCAATGATTACCTCGGAAAAAAAATTGAAAATCTTTTCTCTTTTTGACACGAAGGACGGTGGCGAGAACCTGAAACCCAGGACAGGTCCCCTTCACCACATCCTTCTCGGCGTTTGTAAACCACATTCCCCGCCAAGGGTCAGGTATTCGGCCGGGCCTGCCGATGGGAAACCAACCCTTTCTCATGCCCCGTGCAGAGTATTCAACTGCGCTAGGGTTACCAACACCCACCCCGCTTCCCAGGGACTAAGATCAGTTTGGTACCCCCTCTTCACATCTCGGACGCAGTGCCTAAGGCCCCATCCTCCGGGGGGGGGGGGGGGGCTCTAGCAGGACGAACCCTCTGCAGCATTTACATGCCTCTACAAGTCCTTGGGGACCATCACGTACAGCCGACAGCCAACGCTCATCATCGGGCAGCTACGGGCTGAAAGGCACTGTTCAAACTTTGGTGGTGTATACTGCTTGTGCACTCACCACTACGACAGATCACCAGCAGGTTGGCGGAGTCCCCCCCCCCCTCCATCCATCGGGTAACCATCACAGCAGAGACATCACCAGGTCCAAACAAGAAAGACAAAAACAGCGATTCTGTGAAGAGATGGCCACATGGCTCTCACCGTGCCCACTTGGCCCGACCTCGTCTTTACCAGAGAACCCAACCGCGTCGCCCCCTGCTTGGCCACCGCCAGCTCCTCTCTCCGGAGACTCACCCTGTCCCCCGCCCCCACCGACGACGACGCCGAAGACGACGACGACAAAGACGACGACGCCGACGACTCTCGCATGCTGCGCAAGGCGCCCCCGGGCTCAACCGCCGCCAGAGGTGACACCAAACGGCGGCCGCCGGCGGGAGGCGGCGGGGTCCGCCTCCCGCCGCCGCCGCGGGGGGAAACCACCACCGGCACCCGCCTTCCATCTCCCGGCAAAACCACGAACTCCACCATCTCCACCCCCAGCGATGACATCTTCGAGTTCGCAGATCTCTCCCACGCTTCTTGGCCCTCAAGGCGGGTTAACACCTCCGCCGTGCTGGTGGCCTTCGCGCCGGCGCCGGCGGCGGCCCCGGGGGGGGAAGACGGGGAGCAGCGGGGGGTGGTCGACGGCGGCGGCGGGGGCGGGGTCGGCGAGGACGGCGACGGCGGCGGAGCCATGGCCAGTGCTCCGGTCGGAGAGTCGAGTTCCGCGGATGGCTCGTTCGGAGACCCTGCCGCTTCCGCCGCCGCCGCCGCCGCCGCCGCCGCCGCTGCTGCTGCTCCTACACCGCGAAGAGATTCCCCTGCCAATCCTCCTGCGTCGCAAAGGGATCCCTCCGCCGCTCCTGCTTCGTCTGGCCACTCCACCGTCAGAGAATCTGCAGCCGCCGACGCCGCCGGTTCTTCGTTCAGGGGCCCCGCCGGGGCGACCTCTACGGCCGCGGCCGTCTCACGGTCACCCGCGGCGGCGGCGGGATCTTCAGTCTTCGTTCTTGCACCGGTAGCGCTCCTCACAGTGACGAAGGGGCTGGCGACGGAGGCGGTACCGCCGGTGGTGTCGAGGGCGCTACCGCTGGCGGCCGGCGTGCGCGGGGAACTAGCGAGCGGGTCAGCCGGCGAAGCCGCGGCAGGATCTGCGGTGGCGGCGGCGGCGGCGGTGGTGCCGGGATCCGAGCTCTCCTCGTCGCGAACCGCCAGACCTGGGCCAACTCCCGCTCTTGTTGATGGTGGTGCGATGGAGGGGGAAGGTCCGGGGGGTCCCACAGCGGCTTCTGAGCTTTGCTCCGGTCCTGGAATTGTTTCGTCTTCCAACGACGATGCGGAAGATGCTGACGACGGCGGCGGCGACGACTCCATTATTGTCACCAGCGGATGAGCAACTGTGCGCTCCAGCGGGGGTTCCACAGCGGCTTCTGAGCTTTGCTCCGGTCCTGGAATTGTTTCGTCTTCCAACGACGATGCGGAAGATGCTGACGGCGGCGGCGGCGACGAGTCCATTATTGTCACCAGCGGATGAGCAACTGTGCGCTCCAGCGGGGGTCCCACAGCGGCTTCTGAGCTTTGCTCCGGTCCTGGAATTGTTTCGTCTTCCAACGACGATGCGGAAGATGCTGACGGCGGCGGCGGCGACGAGTCCATTATTGTCACCAGCGGATGAGCAACTGTGCGCTCCAGCGGGGGTCCCACAGCGGCTTCTGAGCTTTGCTCCGGTCCTGGAATTGTTTCGTCTTCCAACGACGATGCGGAAGATGCTGACGGCGGCGGCGGCGACGAGTCCATTATTGTCACCAGCGGATGAGCAACTGTGCGCTCCAGCGGGGGTCCCACAGCGGCTTCTGAGCTTTGCTCCGGTCCTGGAATTGTTTCGTCTTCCAACGACGATGCGGAAGATGCTGACGACGGCGGCGGCGACGACTCCATTATTGTCACCAGCGGATGAGCAACTGTGCGCTCCAGCGGGGGTTCCACAGCGGCTTCTGAGCTTTGCTCCGGTCCTGGAATTGTTTCGTCTTCCAACGACGATGCGGAAGATGCTGACGACGGCGGCGGCGACGACTCCATTATTGTCACCAGCGGATGAGCAACTGTGCGCTCCAGCTCAAGCTCCAGCTCTCGCTCATGCTCGTCCTCGTCCTCGTCCTCCTCCTGCTGCTGCTGCTCGAGCTCCGCTTGCTCTTGCTCTTGTGGTTGCGTCAGCGGTTCGCAGTCCTCCTTCGTCTCGAGCCCGGCGGTGCTGCGCGCGTCAGCAACGTCACCGTCGAAACCGCCATCACTCACCCCGGCATCGCTCTCACCATCATCTCCGGCCACGCCCTCGCCAGCAGCGGCAGCAGAGCCTTGCTCGGAGAACAAGCGCCTCGCCCCCCAACCAAACCCGGGCTTGCGAGCGAGCGGGCTCGGGGAGATCGAGGACGGCGACACGCCGCCGCCGCCACCGCCGCCGGCAGGGCGGATCGAAGACGATCTCGGGGTCCGGCTAGCGTGGTTCAGGGTGGCTCGGGCGGGGGAAGGGGAGGCGCTGGCGCCTAACGAGAAGAATCTCTGACAGCAGTTGTACAGACGTTGTGTGCGGTGGCGGAGGTGGTGGCGACGGCGGCGTGTGGTGCAGCAGTGTTGGTAGTGCATATTTGTGCCGCCGTGCAATTGACGGCTTTCCATTACGTTCTTTCGGGGCACGGTTGCTGGGTCTGGGGGTCCGGGGAATGGTATTATATCTGGTGCTCTAGTGGCCCACCCCATCCGTGATGCATGTCCCACAAAATAAAATAATGACAAGAGAGGTTCCGTGACACTCCTGGTACCTTGCTCGCGCCCGCCATCTGGCCAAAACGTTACCTTTTCACCGCTGGTGCTCCCCACACAGATAGCTACGTGGAATGCAACCAGCAGCAGACTTCAAGCATTCGATGTAGCCCGCAGACACCTGATACGCCCTGGTTATGCTCTGAACCTGGCAAATGCCGTGCTATGGAAAGCGAAAAGAGCTGTTGATTCAAGCCCGTTTCGCAGCTCTCAGCACCAAACTTCACGCTGCTATTCACTGCGAATGTCTGCACCACAGCGAGGGTTAGGTTGAAACAGACAAAACACACATACGATGCGTGGTTCATGCGATGAGTAGTGACTCTGACGCGCAGGCACGTCTGCATGTTGTCATGGCTCCGTTTCAACGTCTCAGGCTCCGGTTGCACATACATGCAGTCCCCGACAGTTCAAGCGCAACACACACGTACCTGGGCGCTCTTGAACGACCACAGGGAGAGGGCTGGAACCCTTGCCCTCTTCGACGCTTGCATGTACTGTGACCACGTGTGCCTGGCATCGGCGGCGACGGGTGGGCAGGGGGGGAGGGTGTACTCATAGTCGTGCATGCCGTAGTCGTTAGACCATTGACCTCGCATCCCTACAAAGCCGGGACGGAGCACGCCGGGTTCTCACCGGACCAGGCTCTCACATCACCAAGCGCGAAGCGCCGTGAGATATTCGGCGAGTCGCATGAAGGGTGCGCTGCATCCTGCTAAGGGTTTTCGGCATCTTGTGCTTACTTCCTTGCGTACGGATGACAGCTGCGTATGACTTAATTTATTTTCTGGTGCTTTCACTTCCAGAGACAGTTGTAAGCACTGTGTAACTGCCTCGAGGGTGCTTGACCATTTTAACACAACGTGGTGCGATCATCCCCCTTGCGCGGAGTGAGGGTTCTCCACCCCGCACAACATGATCTCCTCGACCACCATTATGGTTACCGCCAAAAAAACACAGAC